TAAGTAGTTTCACACTTGCTATAATGATGTACTTTACGTACTCTACAACCCCTTTCCAAAGATGCTTAACTATATTAACAATATTTTGTTCAAAAATGTTTTCTTCTTTTCCTTTTTTATAAATGAATTGTATGAGTAAAAAATTGTGTATCATATATGTTGCTGTACATTCAGCACTGAACCACGACGTTAGCGACGACGGTTTGACGTGTAAAAGTCTTTGATGTTTTGTTTCGCTTGTGCGGCAACACGACGGGTTGCTGGTCGTTCGATGACGTCGGGAATGGATTCTTCCAATTCATTTTCTTCTTGTGAATGAGAACTCACAAAGGCAAGGTCACTTGAGTCACCGGCTGTGTCAGACGGCAAATCAATTTCATTTGTTGCTGCATCATGTGCCTGCTCAGAACCTTGCGAATCATTTAGTTCCAGAGGCAACTCATCTCCCCCCATATCATCAGTTTCACCATCTCTGATCTGATCTACATGACGTTTAATGTCACGTTTTTCACGGAGTAACAAACAGGTGTAATTACGTGGTCCTATTTTATTTTTAATGGTAGCTTGTGACCAACTTGCTTTGTTTGGGTTTCGATAATCTCTTACATAGACTTTTTGTCCTACCGAAAAATTTACGTTACGATTTCCTTTATAATTTTTAATTGCGGTTTGTTGCTTTTCTTTGATAACATCTGTAACTACAGGCGGTTTTAGCAAACTAAAACGCGATTTTAATTCTTTTCCGAGAAGGAGTTTCGCAGGAGTTTCGTTAGTTGTGCAATGTTTTGTAATTCGATAGTCAAACAAAAATCTATCGAGAATGGTGTCGAAGTCACCTATTTTGCTCTCCTCAATCGTTGCAATTAATGACTTTTTCAATGTTTTGACAAAATTCTCGGCTTGACCGTTTGTCGATGGATGTCCAGGTGCGGTGTATATGTATACGATGCCATTCATTTCCAAAAAATGTTTAAATTCAGCAGAAGTAAATTGTCTTCCATTGTCTTGAACCAAGATGCTGATTAAACCAAATCGTGAGAAAATTTCTCTTAATTTACGAATGACAAATGCACACGTCATATCCTTGGTTTTGAAAACTTCAACTCACTTGGAATATGAATCGATTGCAAGAAACAAATAATAGCCTCGAACGGGACCTGCAAAGTCAATGTGAACACGTTTCCAAGCTGAATCAGTGGGTGTCCACGGCATGAGAGTACTTTTCTCAGGACTTGCTTGAGTCTTTTGACAATAAATACAACCTTTTATCAAATTTTCAATTTCTTTGTCAATATGCGGCCAATAAACATATGAACGAGCTAACGCTTTCGTTTTTACAATTCCCATGTGCGATGCGTGAAGGTCTTGCAAAATGATCTTACGCAGAGCATTTGGAATGACGGTGCGATAGCCCCAAAGAATGCAACCTGATTCAACAGATAATTCAGTTGCTTTGTTTCGAAATGATGTATATTCACTGCCTTGAAGCTGATCGACAGTTCCGTGTTGAATACCTTACGTGAACCTTTGATAAAATTGGATCTCGTCGAGTGTGTGTGGCTATATCTTTGTACGTTAATGTTTTCATGATGTTTGAACCTACATAATTTATGTATGAACTCTCCTTGGTTTCTTCCGCTGTAGAAACTTGTGCAATACGTGATAAACTATCAGCCGTATTCAAAGAACCTTTAATGTACTGAATAGAATAATTGAAACCAGACAAAAGAAACGCCCATCTCTGCATACGAGCAGCGGCCATTAAAGGAATGCCTTTATTTTCGCCAAAAATTGCTATCAACGGCCTGTGATCAGTTTCAAGCGTGAAAAACATGCCCAATAAATATTGTCTTAACTTAATCACACTAAAAATGATGGCTAAGGCTTCTTTTTCTATAGTACTGTAATTCTTTTCTGCATTATTTAATGCGCGTGAGACATATGCAATAGGTCTCTTGGTTCCATCGTCATATTTATGAGATAAAATACCAGCAATGGCTGTATTACAGGCATCTGTAGACAAAATAATTAATAATTTCGGATTAAAATGAACTAAAACTCGATCAGAACAGATTTCTGTTTTCATGTGTTCGAATACATTTTGACAAGCCTGATCATATTTAAATTCAACATTTTTTTGCAACAAATGGTAAAGCGGTGTCATTTTCTGAGCGAAATTTTCGATGAAAAATGAATGATGATTTACCATGCCAATAAATGCTCTTAATTCAGAGACATCCCTTGGTCGTGTTGATTTGAGAACGGACTTGATTCGTTCTTTGTTCCGACTTAAACCATTTTTGTCAATGTCAAATCCTAAATAAGAAATTTTTTCCTTGAAAAATTCACATTTGTTGACGTTTAGTCTGAGATCGGCTGTCTGAAGTTTAATCAAAACTTGTTTTAGCGTTTTCAAATGATCTGCTAGAGTTGGCCCAGTGACGACAATGTCATCTTGATAACAGAATACATTTGAGAAGCAACTAAGGAGATTTTCCATGGTCTTTTGAAAAAGTGCGGCGGCAATTTTGACGCCAAACGGTAAACGTGCCATTTTGAAAATGCCTTTGTGTGTACTCCATGTACACAATTTTTGTGCTTCATCGTCTAAAACTAACTGATTGTATGCATTCGACATGTCAAGTTTAGTAAACAAAATACCTCCTTGCATTGAAGCAAAAATTTGATCAATCCGTGGCAATGGATATTTGAAATCGATTAAAAATCGATTAATTGTGACTTTGTAATCACCACAAATGCGAATATCGCCAGAAGGTTTCAATAATGGCACAAGAGGTGTAGCCCAATCCGAATTGTCTACTGGAATAAGTATTCCTTTTGAAACGAAGTCATCTAACTGTTTCGCTATCATATCACGCCATGCTAACGGAACAGGGCGAGGTTTGCGAAAAATCGGTGTGACATCTTTTTGAATGGGTAATTTAATGGTCGTGAC